CACAATACACTTGTCAGATATAATGATAAAATGTTATCAAATGATACTTTTGAAAATTGTAATATTGTAAAAATTGAAGATGTGATATACTATGTTATCCCAGGATTTTTAAAAGCACACTCTATTATTGATATGTGCCAAGAATTTCAACCAGACGTTAATATTGATAATGTTATTAAGTGTTTCAATATCATAAAACTCTCAATCCCCAATGATTGGTGTAAAATCATTAATACCCAGCAGTATAGTGGCAAAACGACGGATAAATATTTCAGTATTAATGACATTAAAATTTCAATTGATCAATTCAATAGCAAATGTATTTACTCCATGTTTTTAAGTTTATTTTGTATAGAACCTAAATGTATGTTATATTGGGATAGATTTAATTATGATGTTAATTGGGACATTACATGGAAAAATGTTGCAGATAGTTTCAAAACTCCCAAAATTAAGGATTTAGACTATAAAATTGTACATAATATTCTTTGGACAAAGCTTAAATTACATAAAATTGGTAAAGTATATGACAATTTGTGTCCAGTATGTTTAGAAGAACCTGAAGATATCACTCATATGTATTTTTCATGCTTTGATTGCAAACTGTTACTCAGATTAATTGAAATGATTTTAAATGATATTCTTTCAAGTAATATTTCAGATTCTGTTTTAGAAATTTACATGATTTTTGGTTTTCAAACACGTAATAAATCTCAATATTACAATTTGTGTAATGCAATACTATCTTCAGCACGTTATGCTTTATACAAACGTCGCATGGTCTCAATGGATAACCCAAATTGTAATATTGATATTATTCAACTGTTTAAAAGTACTTTAAAAGAAAATCTATTTTATATTAGTAAATACTATGCTTTAATTAAGAACAATTTTATCAAAGATTTTGTTCTACCATCTTGTTTAATTACTATAGAGATGGATGGCAAAATAAATTTAGATTTTTAACTTACTTTCATAGCATGTATCTATGGAAATTTCTGTCTAAG